GTTTGCAGCGATGTTGGTTTTCGTATGACAGAAACAATTTTGGGCTTGAAGAGTTGAAAAGCTTATAATACAGATTTTGCCCTACTGCTTTAAGAAGTTTCTTTAAAGCCTTTCTGAAAAAAAATTGTGAAATAAAAACTTTTGACGCAAATTCTGTGGTCGCCAACATCACCTGCCCATGATAGGGTACTGTATAGCCGACGAAGTCCAGCATATTCAAGTTCAGGATATAGCCCTTCGCTGCTCAAAAATACGAATTTTGAAGAAAAAAGATGCCTTATGGCGCCCAGAAAGTGAGGACTTCATTACTAAACTGCTAAGATCTTCACATAACTTCCATTTTCATTAGAAATAATGAGGTTTCACAATGTTTAACGTTTTGTTTTTTGCCTTCTATAATTTTCATGGCAGGTTACTAAGCTAAATACAACCACAACGTTGCTGAGATATTTGCAAAACTCTGGACCGCAGGTGTCTATGGTGGGGAACGAACGCGCTATTGTCCTTTCCGGGGAGTAACGCGTTCACCACCACACCATGCGGGTCCTTCGTTTCGCCTGTTTCTTAGCTATTTCTATCGATAATGATAATGAGGTTTGTTATGAGTTGTGATATGACTGCTTGAAGTTGAAAGAACCATATTACTTAGTTCCATCCACGTATGCATTCAAGTCAATTCATGTCGACAAAAAGCAGATTTTCCGTCAATCATGTGGTAGCTTACCTCTATCCTTCAAAATTACTCGAGTACTATCTAACAAAAGAATATCGTTGTAACGGTTCTTGTTTGCATTTGCAACGAACGCGTGTTTGGGACCGTTTGGTATGTAGGTCTTTACTTTCCTATAAACATTTTAAATCTTGATGATTTATGAATGCCATAAATCATATAATTTTCTCCTACATAAAATTTCGATAGCTTTTGCGTTAGCTTATTTATTGGTTCAAGTCCCAGTTGCTTATGGAAGTTACCTAATCCGAACGAAAATTCTACAGCCGAAATGAATTCGGTCCTTTGCCTTACTATGTTTGGTTTATTTTTTTTATAGAAAAGGTGTCCCTGCTTCTTTATTCCTTCAACTCTCTCTTTCTTTTTTTCTTAGCTTCCTCTCTTTCTTTGTTTCTCATAAAGCTTCTCGAGCATAGGGTAGTTTATAGCAGAAAGAAACACATTTGGTAGGAGAGAAATGTCTGTTTCCAGGTGACGTCATCATTAAGTCGATAACTGGAATTATAATAAAAATGATCATACATGTATTCTTCCTTAATTTTTCGTAATGCACCAGAATTCCTTAGTTTGTTTAGTAATTGTTCGACGGTTTTGGCGATTTCAGCAGGATCTTTTTCGTCCTGTAAAAGTGTTTTTTATGCTTTCATTGATTTAATTATAATTTATTTAGCAGCTTCATAAAACATCGTTCACGTCTTGCGAAGAGTAAAATCTTTGTCGTAGAATTGTAAATTTTCCCTCTCAACTCTGCCTAATGAAAGGTGTTGACGAGATCATTTTCCGAAGAGGACCACGCGAGCACAGAAGGAGTTCAACATATTTCTATCCGGAAGAAGCCCGGTTGAGACCAAAATAATGGAAGGAACGATTGCAATGTTTCGAGAGAACAAGTGGGAAGGTAGTAGAATTCGATCTGCAAGACCAGGGAGTTCACTTGCAGCAACGACCTGAAAACGTCCTGTCGGGGTTTTCTTGGTGTTTAAGGCAGAAAGACCAGGATCACTTAGAACCAGTACCCATTTCGTGAAATGTCGCTGGAACCCATAATTCCTTGTAAAAATGAGCCATTCAAATATTAAAGCAGTACAGTAAATCGGCTGCTTTTCGTGCATTTTCACTTTGTAAACCACATATTACATTTGTCGAACCTATTTTTGTTATTTTCTTCAGATGTTTTTTTGAGAATTCTTGCATCTTAATATTCCAAACACTCACGAATTCCCATCTCGTGTTCTCCTTTATGGTATTTTCACAAAAATTGCGTTCAGCTTCCTCTCTTTTCTGCAGTACGGACTCTTTTTATTTAACTGCATGAGATTCACTGAATGGAAAAAAGCTGGGTCTCAACTAAAATTTGTTTCGTTTTTCATATTTTCAACAATCCTAGAACTTTCATTTGGTACTTCATATGTTCAGAGGACTGCGATAAAGAAAGACAGAAGGCCAGGGCAGTGACTTTTTAGCCCAATAGCTTTCTTATCAGCCTAGTGCTAGCTTATCAATGAAAGAGTACAGTTGTGCCTGGCTTACTAACATCCATTAAATGCTAGAATGGGTTAACATCGAAAAAATCGTAATCATAGAAAATTCGTCATTCAATATTTTTATTTGAAGCACTCTATCACGTCAAATCACTTTACGTTCACATCATTTGGTCATTTGTGATTTCAAGTCTCCGGTCAATTTATCTAAAGGATAAAGGATAAAGCTCTCGGCGTTGATCAATCCCTGAGGGATGCGCCATGTATTCGACTACATTAAGTATCGTTGAAGGTTATTGAATGCACGTCTGGCCTTTACAATGGCTCGCGGTGGTCTACCGATGTCTCGATTCAGTGCAGCTATCTTCGCAGACAGTTCTGATACAATTCTGATAATAGCGGAGGAATGGAGGCTTGGTGAGCCTGGGGCGCCAGATCGAACCCATGTGTATTCGAGGGCATCTCTAACCACTGCTCTGGACGCGCTCCCACGTACGCTGATTTATTAGATGTCATAGCTGGGGCCATTTCATCCGGTGATCCTGCGTTCGCTATCGCAATGACCAACGGTTGTATACCGATTTTTGTATTTTTCCTTTAGAAAAAGTGAGGTTTGTACCAATTACAAGTACAAAATCGTAAGTCCATGGTAACAGTATGGTCACAAACTGTGAAGTCTCGTGTTTTCTTTGTTCTCGACACAAGAATAACACAGTTTCTTGGAATGAAAGTTAAAGATTTGTGAAACTCGGAAAGTATAGTGAAAGTTCATACCAGTTTTTCTTTAGGACCGCCTGACCGCTTAGCGTCTCTCATTGCATGTAAACTGATTAGAGACACACCATGCCCGTTGAAAATATTTTTGATCGAGTCTGTTCTGATAACAATCGTGATAGGATCGGTGTTGACTAGAGTGGATAGTTTGGAGTTGATTCCAATCCATCAGTTGGTCACTGCTCCTCTTCAAGGTTTTGCCGTTTCACTATGTCTATAGGCTGTCCCTGTATGTTGAGGAATGGTTTAAATCAAAAGGTTAATTCTTTGGCGTTGTCATCCGAGCTAAAACCAAGTTTGACAGTTCCATCGGAAAACGCAGTAAGGAGTTAACTTATGCATGGAATTGTCTCCATGGAGGATCCTCAGTGATAAAGTTGCAAATCTCCTAGTGTCTTAAATGGCTGCCTACCACCTGCTGTGGTAAAAACTGGTAAAGGCAAGCGTAAGCAAGTTGTTGCATGTTTAACGTATTTGTAATAATATGAATTCTATATACCTCATTTTTTTCTGGATAATTTCCTTATCTGCGCAAAGCTTTTCATCCACGATATCTTTTATATTCAATCGCTGGCTTCCTTTCACTGACGTACTTGGTAATGAGCATGAAAATCTTGCCAAGATGTTTCCACCGTGCAAGTAGAAATACATGAGTCCCACGACAAATCTTTACTAACTGTATGGCACTAAGACCTTTACTGATTGAGAGGCTACAGGGTCTCTCGCCTAGGGCGGTCACTTCGGACACCTCCCCAATTGATCGATATGCATACCATAGGAATCGCGATTTCGTGAGTTTCGAACGATTGTGAGAGTGGCAAAAAGATCGATAGAAATAGCTGAGAGACGTGCGAAACAAAGGACCCGCATGGTGTGGTGGTGAACGCGTTACTCCCCGGAAAGGATAATAGCGCGTTCGTTCCCCACCATAGACACCTGCGGTCCAGAGTTTTGCAAATATCTCAGCAACGTTGTGATTGTGAGAGTTTCCAGTAAAGTTTTTCAATGACAGCGTCGATCTACGAAGGCGATTCAGAAGTTTTTCGCTCCTTCTTTAAGGTATTTTTCTCAGAATTATTTCAACTTCACTTTTTCTTTCAATTCTGACTTCGTCACCTTCACCATTATCTTCCTTACCTTTCAGTTTTTGAGTAGTGGGAAACAAATTTGGCATAGCTTTTTATCCCTTTGACACTTCTTTTCTAAATCATCTTATCGGGATTTGCTCTTAGGTTTGCTACAACTTCAGGATTTATCATTTTCTTTCGTCTCCTTTTCTGTAGAGAGCACAACGAGTCATGGATTCGAACTCAGCACATAAAAACAGTTTTTACTCATCTATTCCACTTTGTTAACAAAACTCTGTACAAAATTATTGAACGAGTAATCTTATTTTAATGATCGCATGAGTAGCTCAAACGAATTGGACCCTAAGCAGAAGAACTGAAAATAATCGAAGCATTTTGTGAATTAAAGAGCGCAATTACCGTAGTCTATTTCTTCGTTTGTAGCGTGATTTGAGTTCAAATCAGTTTTGTGCTCCATAGAAAACGTTGTTCAGCTCTTCCGAACTCATGGTAAATAAAGAGGTAAAGACCCTTACCACGGAAAAAGCTCCTATAAGCAGCAAGCCATAGTTGTTCATTTTTGGCTTCTTACTAATAAAGGTTTGCCCGCTGTTAATATCTAAGCTGTAAGAAGCCCAAGAAAACACCTCACATAGCGAATGGAGCCGTAGTGACGATTGTTGGTTGGAAACACGTAGCTCATGGTGTTCATCAAACCCTTGACCCCCTCAGAATCAATAAATCGCCCGTGAACTCATCTGATATGGCGAAAAATCCTATCTGACTAATCTAGAAAGAAATTTATTCGAAATTTTTTCCTATGAAGTACTAACCCTCAGGAAGATTAGTTGCACTTTGATTTCTGTCAGGTGAGAAATCATGCGACCAGATGTTTCGATTATTTTCTGTCTTCAAAGCCGATATGAAGGAAATAGCTGTACTATACGATCATTTGCTAGCACCACTATTAAAACTGTCTTTTCTATGAAACATATCATGGCGAACTTTTGGACTGATAGCTCGATGCGGTGGTGAACTCGTAGGCATATTCGGTACATCTGCGGACGGTACCATCTCAACTCCACGAACTCGTAACGTTCGGTGCTGAACACACGAAATTATTGTAAAAAATACATCGATGTCTTATTACTTAAGTTTAAATGTATGGTTAGGGTGGGGTGAATGTCATGAGATTATGACGTCAAAGTATTCGGTACCGCTGCTTCAGTTCATTTCAACTAAAGCGACTAAAGAGTGAAATAATGGAAAAGGTCTAAAGTTCATCTAAAGTTTACCACCTTACCTATTCATTAGCAATAATTCATGGTCACTGGATCTACCGTTATTAAGATGAGCATCAAGGCTTGTCGAATCCTAAAGGCGGTGCGATGCAGTGAGTAGAACTGCTATACAACATACGCAGGGTTTCTAGTTCGAAGCAACGCCTGAGCAAACCAGACTTTCCATCTGTTCGGGTTAGTGAAAATGGTATAAAACTTGTCTGGAAGAATAAGAACGCTGGTTTGATACGCTGTCTATCACCACTGTCTGCTACGACTGGAGTCGAATTCACGGCACGTCCTTAAAGGACGGGCCAACAGCGACCAAAGGCTTAACAGTATATTCGCAACCGAAAGCATTCAGCCGTTAACTTACTACAGCTTAAGAACCACTCTTTTTTACATTGGTTGTAACTTTATTCTAACTTTTCATTAAACAAAATTATGGAACGAAGAGCTCACAAAATCCTTTTTTCCTGTTTTTTCCAGAAAGAAGTCAACGGATTTTAGTGAACTCTGATTGGTTTTAAATCGTTGTATTTAAAGACGTGAATCTCAAACTGCATAAATCAATAAATAAGCTTGTAAATACATAGATATAATAAAAAACACGTAGAGTAACAATATCGGATACCGTGTCTGAATGTGATGGCACGTTGAGTGCAACTCGATGTGAGGGTACGATAATCGTCTGATCGTGAACACCGACATCCGGATCAGCATTCGCCTCCACACAATGCCATTCGATTGTCTAGAAGTGATGGATGGATTGGCGGACATCTATTATTTTCAATTAGTATTGACCCGTGTTGGAACTGATCACAACAGAGTACGTTCTAGTAGGATTCATGCGTGAATTTGTTTCTTTTTTAAGGATTCCTTTCTTGTCAATTACTAAGTGATTTCCCGCTTCGCTGGACGTTTAAATCCAAATTCTGAACTCTAAAATAATCATGACGATTCTCCTTCTGGTTCGATTCTTCGAGCTTTTTTTTTGTTAGAGTTCTTACCTTGCTTTTGATGCCCTACGAAATTAACGACAATAATTTGTAAAGACTTAGGTTCATTTTTTGACTCTTCATTTGTGTTACAAAAACGCGACCACTAGATGGTTTTTCCTTCATATATTTGTGCACGAAACGGACCGCTTTTCTGCTCACACCAAACTAGTGGGAAAGAGGCAATACGCTCTAACTGGTTGTCTTTTATCAACAATTTTTTTCTCTTTTGTGGTAAAAATGAAAAGAAACAGACGTCTGGAATACTGGGCGGAGCTGATAGATGCATTTGACTGGATGGATCCTCAACGACCATCTGGAAACAAGCTTTACTAATTACGCAAGGTATCAACAGTTAAAAGACGTGTGAGCCGCAGCTGTTAGAAGCGGCCTGCAATTCATATGGGATCGACACCGCGTCGCTGTCCAGCCAGGTCCTCCATTCCTCCGGGATCGGCAAAAGGGTAGCGAACCTGTTTGTATAGCAAATTCGACGAGCGGGTTCTCTCAAACTTGGGTACTTAATCCGTTCATAAGCATAGTATTTACACAACAATGCAATGAGATTCAAAATGTATATGCAAGAAATTACAACTAAGGTGGTTCAGTAGGTAGTAGTGCACCTAAAAGAGTTTCACTAACAATGATGTAGAGCACTACAGCAGGTTTATATGGCTGTGAGATGTTATTAAGAAATACTGTTCATGTGACAATATTACCATAATTACAGCAGCGTAAGGATTTACGTTATCACAGTGCAAAAATCTAATAACGATTACGGGGTTGTTTTAGCAATAAGGAAAATTGTGTGGAATGGAGTGCTTATGAGCAGTGTAGGTATTTGAGACAATTGTTATATTAGCAACACTTAAAATACACGATAACTGAAGGCAACTTTAATGTTTTGATAATTCAAGGGTTAAAAATCTTATTTAACATTATTACTACCCAAGAAAATAATTTGTGAAAGGCTTACAACAAGCTGCGGATAAGGAAGAATGGCGGCGATTTGCACGCGGCGTCAGAAGGCAAACGAATTGATAGGGAACGTGGATATATCCAAGCGAATGGCGTTGGTGGAAGGGTCAAGGTGAGGGTCTCAGGGTTTAGTCCCCAAGCAATGGGCCGTACCCAGTAGCGTAGCTGGTGGCGTGCCCGATGGTTAAGGGGTGTTAATCTAGAGCAGGAACGCTGGCGTTGTGTTAAGTATTTTAGTTCCCAGGATCGACTTTCTCTTAACCTCGGCATTGGAATATGAATGTGTCGTTTTCTTGTTCAGCAATCGCGAGGTTTTTAAACAGCATACATTTACTTCCATAAAAACACAATATAATACAACGCTAGCTGACGTTTCGGCAGTATCGCCTTCTTCAGAGCCTGGAAGGGTATACTGATATACAATCTACTAGGCCAAACGCTTCAATAACACTTACACAAAGACGAAAGACTCTTTGGTAATTACACGACCAACAACTTCTCGAAAAACCCACCGCTTTTTCGTGACTTCCAATGAGGAAGTTTAGAACAGCTGATTATAGTCGCATGTGGTTGACGACTGCACCATCGCACATCAAAGGGACGAATGCCCGGAGGTCATACGCGACCTGATCCCGTACGTTCGCATCGATTTTTGATGTGCGATGGTGCAGTCGTCAACCACATGCGACTATAATCAGCTGTTCTAAACTTCCTCATTGGAA